AAGAAAAATGTGTGGTGGGATCAAGACAAGGATAATATCTTTGTGCTTAGATATATTCACGTCTCATATCTCATCAAGACAAGGATAAATCGACCACGTTTCATATCTCGCAAACTATTTTTAGTGCTAGGATTCTCTGTTTTGATTTGGATTCACGGTAACGGGGCATTCTATTTGCAGACAATTTTTCGTGTCCTTGTTCAAGTGCCATTGAACCTTCTCAAAAATTTTCCAGCAATCGATTTGTTTTAACTTTAATTTATCATCTCTAATGACGATTTATCCTTCTGAAGAAACTTATGTTTATGAATATCATTTAAATGATGGATTAAATGCAAAATCTGTTACATTTGCAAAATGATTTTATATTTAATTGTTAAATTTGAATCTGAATTTGAGTTTACACCAAAACATATTTATGAGTATAGAATGAAATTGAATCAGAGTTTACCGTTGAGTATTGAATTGAATACAAGTGTGAGATAATTTCTGATGTTTGCAACTAAATTATAATTTGAATCTATTCTTTATTTTAGATATAAAAGAATGGAGCGCAGCTGAGAGAAAGTGTGTTGAAAGCCCTAAGTATTCATGATTCATTCATACTACTTATTTTATAATTTGGTTTTCCTGTTGGAGCAATTAAGTACGTAACACCCATTTTCTATGTATTTACATGTTCAGATCTAAGTTATTTTTAGTGTTTGAAAATGAAATACACCCATTTTTGCATAGATAAGGTGGCATATATGTAAAAATTAAAGTTTAGGAATGTATAAGAATTGAATGTATCTATGTAAATCTTCCTTTTCTGCTTTTACTACTGTGTTAGGAGAGCTAAAGGGGCACAAATTGCAGGTTGTAAATATCAACAGGGGTAGAAGAACGAAAGATCATCTGCAGTAAGTTCTCCCTGTTTATAGCTGCAGCATTTTTCATGGTATCTTTCAGTTAAATTGTAAAGCTTCGTTATATGTTCTCTACCACTAGTTCACATGGATTATTCAATATGGGGGAAGGATGCAGACCAGTTTAATCCTCTGCATTTTTTACCAAAGATTGGCTCAAATAAAGTTACTCTTAATTAATTGCTTATTATTATAAATGTTGAGACCTGGGGTTTTGGTCCTTTTCATGTGGAAATGTACTGGCCATTTACATACATACCACCCAATTCGTATGTATTTACATATGAAACACCTACAATTTATCTTCTACATTTATACCACCCAAATCTTTCATATAACAGAAAAATACCATCATTTTATCTTTTAAAAGTGAAATACACACTTTCATGCATAGGTAAGGCGCCATGTATGTAAAAATTGAAGTTTAGGTGTTAGATATGTAAATTGGAATTGAGTGGTATGTATTCAAATCTTAACTTTTTTTGTCATGGCTGTGAATCTGAGTTTCTGCTACTTATTGTTCACGAGTTATCTATTGGGCTCTTGTACAGTTCACATTCAACTACAACTGTTTGATTGAAGTTTAACTGAAAATTTGAGAAAAAATAAATTTATGATTTATATGATATATGGTTTCTTTTTTTCCTGGAGTTATCTTTTGATTCTGATGCTTGCAATCTACAACTGAGAAAATCATGGTCACAAATAAGAACACAATTAGAAGGAGAATTTGGAATGTTTGAAGAACATGAATAATTTGGGAGTTTGTCCTCAATGTTATGCGCCTATACATTGCAAAATTTCTTCTAGAAACATTATGCAGGTGCAATTTCATAGTTTGCTCATAAATTCTTGATACTGTGAATTTGACAAAGCTCCATGCAATTTGATGCAGAACAATTGTATTGGATCCATAATTTCTATTTTTATTTAAAGAAGGATGGAATTTTTTGATTCAGTGATAAATTGGTATAGAAGAACCTATGATCTTGCACGTCACTTTCATAGAAATGAAACTGCAGAATTAGTTTGTTCAGAATTGTTATTCATTTATTTCAGCAGTTTTAATCTCTGAAGTGAATGGTGAATCAATTTCTGTAAATTAGATAACTTATAAGCTGTCTCTACGTTTCATTAACAAATGATATGTATGCAACAAACTTACTTTTTAGATTCAATCTTGAAATTACTGATTCTTATATGATTCACTATTTTATAAGACTGCATATGAAATTGTACATTTATTTAGTACTTCAAGGTATCATTTCGTTTGAGTTGCCAATATAAATTTGATTGAGCAAAAAATGTACATTAGAATAATACTTGTTTATATTTTTCAGGCGCTTTTAGCTGCTCGAAATTTTGGTGGTTGTTTTTGCTCGTACATTTGGAGCACTTGCGTGAGTATCTAAATGCATAACAATCTTGGCACATCGTCTACAACAATCTCATGCACATGTTAATGAGCATTGTTGAAATCGTGGTTTATGTGCTTTACAGAGCTTAATAGATACTTTTGAGGCTTTCATATTTTTAAAAGCTTGGCGTATCAAGGTTTAATTAATGCTTCTAAGCTTCGCAATTTGTTGCATCTGTATAAATAATTCTCAGCAAGTAAGCATTGCCCTCCCCTTGTGGATATGTTTCAAGTTTTTGTGATGCGGGGATGAGAAGTGCGGTCTTTCAGGGCATAGTAGGGAACACTCACTGGTTCAACCCACTGTATTGGTAACTAGATATTTGACGTAAAAAGAAGATTAACTTACCAAGTTATTAAAAGCTGGAGTTGAATCTTCTGAACTTAAAAGAAAAGCCAAGCAGCAGATTACTTATCTAAATATCCAGCATTGTACTATTATAGTTGTGGTAGAGATAGATGCATGAGACTTCAGATATTTCACTGGAGTGTATGAATACAGAAATATATGTAAACATTGGTTTATGTTCATTATGCTATGGGATTATCTATCACAATCTATATAATAGATGATTTTCTTCACCTGTGGTTGTAGGCAAGTTTTACCCAATTACATTGAAGTATTTATCTTTAAACAGTGGTTGTCTCTTCTATCTTATAAGTTGCCTCCCTTACATAAATCACAAGAAGGATTAGATTTAGTGTAATAGTAGACGTACGATTCATAATAAACTGCAAACTTTACAGTTTCATCTCCTCATAAGATTAGCAACTGCTACCGGGTGCATGCTACTATACAGAATTAGTGAAGCAAAAGTTGACAAAATTATTGAGGCTGGTAAGCCATCCCTTAAGTGCTCAAATTTTCATTTGAGCTTCCGTGTCTCGAGATTAATATCATAATTTTCTTATGCTTTCTCGCCATATGTTCTCAGCGGTTGTGTTATTATTCGGATTTAGGTGTTAGATATGTATACATATTTAAATTGTGAGGTATGTATGTGAATGTTCCTGTCAGCTTCAAAGCTTGTTCCTTTGGGATTCACAAGTGCTAGCCAGCTTCATGCGCAAAACCTTGAAATCATTCAAATCACATCTGGGTTGAAAGAACTCGATACAGAGAGCCTACAAACAATTGTATTTTGTTTTTTATGAGCATTTACCCATCAAAGCGAAGCAAAAGGAAAACCTAAAATTTCACAGAAATTTAATGAAACCATTCATACAAAAACCTCATACAAACAACAGCTATAAACCAAAAGTTCCTGATTGTTTTCGCTGGTTAAATATTTCACATATAGAAGACACAAGAAGCAAAAGAACAAGTTCAATTTTGATATATAGAACACAGTAAGAATTTCAATGAGGCAATAAACTAACAATACTAAGTTCTTGTCTTTTCTCCAACTCGTTGCCTATAATTTGGGTTTGCTCAACAACTAAAGGATTATTTTCTTTGCTCTTTCCTTCTTCTATCAAAAGAAAAGTATGTTCAGAATTCTTAAGTCTTTAAAATGTTGCTTTGATAGGTAAATGCAATTTTGGCATAGATGGAACTCAGTTTTTGTTTCTTTTTGCACAGCTGTTGAATGGTCTGTATATTACAGCTGGGATCTTTGCTTTTCTCAAGTAATGATCACGGTGCAGGTTGGAATAACATTTGTCTCGGTCTTTATCTGCTGCGTGAATTTGGTCCTTTAGAAAGTGTGATAGTATCTGCATTTAATAGATATCTTTGCATCACCTTCGATTGTATCTGATGTGTTTCGATGCGGTTTAATAGGCTTTGCATCAAGCTCTTATGAGGCAAGATGAGTTGTTGGCATACATTGATTTTCAACAAGAGGCTAAATTCCGGGTTTGTTGAAGCTTCATTTATATGTTTGTCATTTTACTCTTCATTTGATGGTTGTAATATTGCTTATTGCATATTTATTTTATTTTTTTTTGCAGAAGAGGAAGTTCTGCTTTTGATCTCTGATTATTTATTGAGAGAAAAGGATTCTTACAGATGATGATGAAAGACGCTTTAGAAGGAGATGGAAGAGATAGTGAAGGAGACAGCTTTCTCTATTTTATTTCACTCACTTATTGTAAAGCAGAAAAAGATACTCAAGAAAAGAGATTTTCTCATGCCAATCTTCCAAAAACGTTAAATATTACGTTTTGACCACCTACTTAAAATTTTTATTTCGACCACCAAAACTTTCTTTCTTTTTGAAAGTTGAGAGGTCAATCCATTATATTTAAAGTTTTTGGTGGTTGAAATGAAAATTTTAAATTTGGATGTGTAATACCTTGTATTTGAAGTTTTGGATGTTTTATATGTAAAAACTCACAAAAAAAAAAATTGGTTTGAAACGGTAAAGATATATAATTTATTTTTTTTATTTTGTTTCTTGGGATGAATTGAGAGGATATAACAAATGTAGATGAATCTGATTATTTCCGAGTGTTTCTGCTTCATTTTTTATTTATTTCATGCTAAAATTTGAAACTTGTATTTTTCAGACATATGTGATTTTTTTAAAAATTGTGATTTATTTCATGTTGAAAATTGGCAAAGAGCCCTAGATTGCTGAGAAGTACTCACTGTTAAGTGAGTTGTGTATCTGAAGTTTTATTCTGTTTCTGTTTTGAAAGAAATTTTTGCATCTGAAGTATCAAATATGTGGCTATCATAGTTCTGTTTTAAACAGCTTTACTAAACAGAGGCAGAATGATCATTTTTCCAGAAACAGCTGTCCCACAGCTGTTATTGCACAGCTGTCACAAACAATCATTCAGCTTCCCCGCAGCAGCTTCCCGGGGTAGCATAGTTGCAGCTGCGTCAAACAGACCCTATGTCATTACGAACAATCTTTTATAAGATATGTTTGTAAATGGCTAAGGTCAAACATAAAGATTTATCTCCTAAAAATATGACAATATTTTTAAGAAAATTTTTTGTCAGTCTCATTCCTTCGATAAAAAATAAAAAAAATACTTCCTTGAGATAACTTAACCATTTGCCCCAATTTATATTTTTGTAAATATGATTTACTCAAGCTATAACTTAAATCCATGCAGATTTAATCTTCACCATTCACATGTCAAGTAAAATTAGAATTTCTTGAACTTGATCAAAATAAACTTTGATTTAGAAATATATTTTGAAATCCTTTTGAGAAGACCTTGAAATTTAAGATAGTTTTCTTTAGAGATACGAAAAATAAAGAGTAAAGAAAGAAAAAAATTAAACAAAAAAATGAAGAGAAAAAGATGTTATCAAAAGGGAAAAAAATGGTTGACCAATAAATGATACATGTCTCTAAAGATAGATGACAATAAAGACAAAGTTGTAAGGAAGATAATAGCTTGAATATAAGTTATTCATACTCGAGAGATTATCCGATTTAACATATCGCTCTAAATTTTCCATCTTCAAACCATTTTTACAAAGTTGGAAGTTAAAAACATATCACCACACAATATTTTGAATGAATCCCCCAAAATTGAGGTTTGGCATTCTACTCAATTCTTTTAAAATTTTGAACATAATCTCAAAATTCAAAAGTGAGCTTTCTCAAATCCTTCCTATCTTCTTAATAAAAATATGTCAACATGTGAGCTAAAATCAATCCATTTAATGAGAGAATAAATTCTTGGACCCTCCTTTTAATTTCACTTTAAAAAGAAAATGAAGCCAATAAACTCATAAAGGTCAACTTTGAAGTTTGTGAAAATCTGTCACAAAAGTTTAGACTAGATGTAGGACTACCTCTAAAGTGGCAGTCCCTAAGCTCAAAGTACAACCTGATGTATCAAAACACGAAAAAGACTCTGATGTTTATGTTAGAGATCGAACAAAATATTCTCATTTGAGGATAGGTTAATTTGATGTTAGAGAATAAGAAATATATAGTGAGTCGCCACTGCAACGTCCTTCGATGAGGAGAATCTCGCCAACTGGTAGGATGCAAACAGTGAAGGAACGATGCTTATCCTCGATCTACTAGAGGAAGTTCAGACCATTGCAACAGTTTGGCAGGTACATACAAAGATAATAAATGCTCGATATTACAACAAGAATGTTTGAGAAAAAACATTCACACCCGATGATCTAATTCTAAAGAAAGTTGGTCCAGCCTAAGGGGGTCAATCAGTCGACAAACTTGATAGACTTGGACCGGTTTGTTCATCACGATCAACAGGTTGCTCCAAGACCTTACAAACTAAAAAACGTACACTGGGAAAAAGATCCACCGAACGTGAAGTGGAGACAATCTTAGAAAAAATTTCCTTTGAAAGAAACTACATTGTATCCATGTTTGAGAAAAATAATTTTACGACTAATAATTGTGAATTTACTTCATATGAACTTTTGCTTATTTGTCGTACACTTGCAAAACAAAACTAATTGTGCTATTACAAACCCAGATTTAAAATAATGCTCGAGGAACTGAAAGATCGATGGACCTCACATTGAAACAAGACTCGGGGAACTACAGTACTCAAGAAAGATGACCAAAAGAAGAATTTTGACACTCGGTTGCAAAGAAAGAAAAGCAAAAGAAGCATTCTGATGCTCAATCTCAATGAAAGACGGCCAAAAGAAGCTTGAAGCATTCTGATGCTCAATCTCAATGAAAGACGGCTAAAAGAAGCTTTCCGGCTCTCGGTCGCATAAGCCTCAAACTTGAAATTTTTCTGTCCTGAGCAAATTGTCAGAGATGGTTATCTACGTCGTAGCGACAAAGCTATGCGAAGAGAACCAATACACAACCCTGAAAAGTATGATTGACAACCCCTTATGAGGCGTAGTTCAACCAAACAATTTTTTTTGGTCCAATCAAATAAAACTTATGTTCGCTTAAGAGTTGAAACCCAAAGCAAGCCTACTTAAGTAACACCTGAATGGCTCACAAAAATCCTAAATGGCCGGCAGCAACACTGCGATGTTCGACTGGCCCACAAGAACAAATCTAACCTTTTAACTTTCATCAAATAAAGGCCTCGAATAAATTAAAGTATCACAAACAAAGTCAGTTCAATTAGACAAAAGATCGTGGGTAAAAACAACTAAAAGATCATAATTCATTCATGTAATCGTTTGTTTCAAAACTATCATGTGTATCATTTTGAGTACATGTAAAATAAGGAGAGAAAAGAAAACGTAAGTCTAGGGGTCATTAGTTCGAGTGTTAAGACTATCCTCTAATCACCACATGTCGCTCTCAGGCTCGCCTTGGTGTTTAGATGTCTAAGGAGCATCAAAGAGCTTCAAAGACTTACATTTTCTTTTCTCTCAATTATCCCACTGACAAATGGTTCGACTGCTATTCTTTGGCTCTCTTCTATGTGCTCGACCTAAGTGTCAAAAAACTCCTCAGCTGTCTTCATAGTGGACATCTGCTCCAACAGTTTATCATTTTCCTCTTGGATAGCAGATACCCACTCAAACAGTCTCTCCAGCTCCACCTTCACATTTTTCAGCTCTACCTCCACCTCAACGCCCTCATTATTGCCAACTCCTCCGGCTCCCAATATTCTCTGATTCTCGCCTCAGACTTTGCAGTTCTCTCCCTCATGGCCAAGTAAAGCGAGGTCATGTGATGTGTCGACACATAACCAAGCAGTTGAAAACAGTCGACTAAATGGCATAACTCAACAGAGCAGTAATTGCCCAAGTGCTTCTCAAGTCTGGCTGACGATAAGATGTTTGCAATAGTGGTTGCACACTGGACTGACTTGAAATTCAAGAGGAACCAGTCCCTCATAATATTTAATAACCTGAAGTTGGAATCAGAATTCATGAAGACCTTTGGTTGCTTTTGTAAGGGAATCCACCAATCCTTACCACTCTTCTTATTATATAGAGGTGAATGGAGAAAAGAGTCGGAGTCAAAAGCTACAACGTTGCCCTTCTTTCAACTAACTTAGAGCCCCCATCCAAAATTTCCCCCAAATTTTCCTCCTCATCTGGTTCAGTCGGCGTGGATGGAGATTTAAGAGATTGACGGCTTGCCTCACCTTTATCATATAGAGGAATGTAACCCGAAGTTGACAGTCGGGAAACCTCCTGTGTGGAAGGACGCTGTGAAGACTCCCTAGTCCCCGATTGAAAGATAGGAGTTGGCTCGTCT